CACAGCTAACGTCAACCAGCGTTATCAAAACACCCCGTGTGCATGGAGCCTTAGACACTTTGACAAGTGTCAGACATTTTTCCTGCCAAAACGCTGTTGCCAAGAGGAAGAGCATTTTTAAAATGTCCTGTGTGAATGAGGCCTTAATGGGGAACTGAATAGAATTTATTAATTCCTTGGAGCAGAACATTTTTTTCTAGCTGTCTGGTATGATGACGCTGGTGCATCATTTACAATGTCCAATTATCCTGGGATAGAAGAACACAGGGGGGTGGTGCCATTGTTAATGTTCATTACTCACTAGAAGCTAACCTGATATCAACCCTGGCCTTCTTGCTGGATATATGATGATCTCATGTACCGTATAAGGGTATTGCAGGAAACCCCCAGCTGACAAAAGAAATGTTGTTTCCCCCTTGAAAAGCCAGAAGCCCAGCATGCATATGTATGGGGTACTAAGCGAATGAACATGTCTCAAACTGCTGATAGCTGACTGCTCTAACATGTCTGATTGGCCTTACTCATGATAATAGTACAAGAAAAAAAACCCTTCTATCCCTGTAATCTTGGTGCACTAGGCACCAGTGGTTTTAAACCTCAGACATTGAAATATGAGCTAAGCATATCCCTCTATAGTGTATGCTTGCCTCAATCCAGAGTACTAAGCATCATTTCTGTCCACTGCCTTGTTCCTCTGTTATCTGCATGAGCCACTTCTGACAAGTTTTTCCTGACACCAAGAGATAAATGCTGACAGGGGAATGCACAGCCTGTGATTGACAACCTCAGCAGTGTTCCCATGTGCTGTGTGATGGGGTGTGTTTCCCTTCCCTCCAATCAGCTCTCAGAGCTCTCCTCACTGATGTAACTTCAGCTCCCCACCTCCTGCTTTTCAAAGCTGAGAGATCCTGTGTAAATTCTGCACTTTGAATGAATGTAGTGGAAAGACCGCTTTAGATAAACAGGTACAACTTATGTAGGAGGATTTGTTTCATCTTTGTCTATCACCTGAGGCCATTCACTTCACTGAGTATATGTAAAGATTTACAAACACTTTAAGGCATTTCCTTACCAGTATACGACTGCCTTGCCTCCAAACCACTTCCCCTGATGTTTGTGAGACTAAGCTGGAAACTGAATTATATGCAGAAATAATTATAGCATATTGAGCAAGCAAAGTCCGTAAGAATTTGACACCAAAGCATATGAAACATATAAAGATGCAGAAACCAAATGGTTGTATAAAATAAATGTAAATAGATCAATGAAAATAATTTATTGAAAACTATTTCATTTATAGCCCCATTATATTCTGCAGTGCTGTATTTCAGACAATTCATCTTAGCTCCTTCCTAAGCAGGAATTATGATGTCCCTTCCATACAGAAGCACACTACCATGCTGGGTGGGAGCCAATAAACTGACGTTCCATTTTTACAATGTGGTAGGAAACCACACAAGCACTGGGATATCATGGAGTCTATATGTATGGAGCTCCATTGAAACCAGCATCTAGTACTGCAAGACCACATTGCAGATCAAAAACACATCTTGCCTATGGTCCATTATTATCTTCATAAACTAGCACTGCAAAATTCCGACTATTACTGCGATTTATAGAACTGGGCTTTATTTCCATTAGTGACAGAGCAAAGATTAGATAAATAATGAGCAACTGAGCTTATAAACAATCTGCAATCTGCTTAAAATGTGTTTACTGCACATAATTGAAACTCAAAGTACATTTGATTAGAACTCTAAAAGATAACACATCTGTGATAGATATGGAGAGTGCAGGCAAAGTGCTCACTTATGAGTGCTATGATCTCCATCTTGTGAAACTGACCAGAGATAGCTGCTATGAATTTCATTTCCATGTAATGCAGCCAACAGCACTCAGCATTACACAACCTACAGTGCTCTTTTCATCCATCACTTCTCTAATCACATTTACATTTTTAGTTTAAGTGTTTTAGGGTTCATGTACACAGACATGCCATATATAGGCATTTTATATGCCGGGCATAAATTTCCCAGTGTTTCCTGTGCCCAGGGAGCCTCAAGTGCTGTGTACAGCCTTCCATACAAGTGAATAGGTGTATGTGGACGTACTCTTGTACACCCTTATGCTTTGCATCAGCTTTAACCTACATATGCACATCCAACATATTTCCCGAAACTTCCACATGGGATGCACATGCATGGGTAAATACTTATGCAAAGAAACATCGAGGTGTATACAAGATAATGGCCATCCATTTATTTGGCAGGCTATACATGGCACCTGCAGCTCCCTAAAAAATTACAAATAATAGTTCCTAAAAATGTTATTGCACATTAATAATATTATTTACGTCTGGCTGATTTAAATGTATTTCCAAAAGAAAAGACTATTTCCTTTTATTAACTCACCTCATCTATCTCTTGGTGATGTTGTATCACGTTTTTGAGTTTGCATTTGTTCTGGTAAAAATATGCTTCTGTTTTGTCAGCCTCTGATATAGCTATGGATTAAACACAAAAAGGAGCTTTTTTTTTTACCTTTTTTATAAATCAGATTTTGTTTGTTGTCAAACAAGATACAGAGAAGGAAAGATACAATACCATATAGTTCACGATCAGTCAAAGCAGATCAGTAATTATACTTGGATATGCAGTCCATAAAATATATTTGTTCAATGAGAGTAGATGAAGAATGATTTAATGAAGTTAGAACCATGAACAGTCATTTAACTAGTCACATGTCTATAGAGATTGAGTAATCTAGCCAGCGGGACCATTTACAGTCCATTTTTGCATGGTGTTTTGCAGATAGTGTGTTTTTCATATGCTACACACTTATTTAGGTCTTGTTACCATTCTGTAGTGGGGGTGAGTGCTCTACAAACTGCTAGAGATTCATATTCATGGAAGAATCACAATTCCCCAAGGATACAGGTAACAAGGTCTGCCTCCATTAGGGTACCCATTACACTGGGTTGTAATAATTTCTGCCCAGTATTTTTTAAACTTGGGGCACCACCCTAGGAGGTGTATCAGATCTCCTTGAAGCCAACTACATTTCCTGCAGCAGGAGACAAAGCCCAAGTCTGTACAGCGGCTGTTTTTGGCTTTTGATGTTTTTTTTTTTTCTACAGCTGGTAAACCCCCCAGCATGTTATCCTATGTGTCCATGCACACATAGACTGTAATCAACGTTTTTTGTCTGGAAAAAAAAACAGGACTAGTGGGTTTCTAGAGGAGTTTTTTTATCTGTAAAAATGCTCTAACGCTGAAAAATGAGGCAAAATGCCACAAAGCAGTGTTTTTTTTTACTTTTTTGACCCAAAAAAGTTTTTTTTTGGTTAAAAAAATGCTAAAAACTGCAAATGCAGAAAAATGCCTCTAAAAGCGTCAAAACACCGCTAAACGGTAATGCAAAAACGCTTAAAAAAGCTGAAAAACTCACATTTTTAATGTGACATTTCACAGCTAATGTTACCAGCATTATCAAAACATCCAGTGTGCATGAGGACTAAATGTGCCTAAATGCTTGTAAAAGTGTTAGTCCTCATGCACACGGGACGTTTTTACAGCTGCTGTTTTTGGCTTTTGATGTTTTTTTTCTACCAGTATGTTATCCTATGTGTCCATGTACAAATAGACTGTAATCAACGTTTTTGTCAGGAAAAAAAACCCAGGACTAATGGGTTTCTAGAGGACCTTTTTAGCTGTAAAAACGCTCTAACACTGAAAAATGCGGTAAAACGCCACAAAACAGCATTTTTGGTAAAAAAAAATTATGCTAAAAAAATGCAAGTGCGGAAAAACGCTGCTAAAGGCGGCTAAACACTAATACAAAAAGCAAAATAAAAACGGAAAACTCACATTTTTAAAATGACTTTACACAGCTAACGTTACCAGCATTATCAAAACACCCCGTGTGCATGGAGCCTCAGACACTTTGACAAGTGTCAGACATTTTTCCTGTCAAAACGCTGCTGCCAAGAGGAGGAGCATTTTTAAAATGTCCTGTGTGAATGAGGCCTTAATGGGGAACTGAATATAAATTATTAATTCCTTGGAGCAGAAATTTTTTTTTAGCTGTCTGGTATGATGACGCTGGTGCTTCATTTACAATGTCCAATTATCCTGATATAGAAGAACACAGGGGGTGGTGCCATTGTTAGTGTTCATTACTCACTAGAAGCTAACCTGATATCAACCCTGGCCTTCTTGCTGGATATATGGTGATCTCATATACCGTATAAGGGTATTGCAGGAAACCCTCAGCCAGGGGCGGACTGACAACTCATGGGGCCCCCGGGCAATAGGGGATCATGGGGCCCCTGTGTCCTTGACCAAACTCAAAAAAGCCTATGAAAAAGGTACCAGGGGCATCTCATGGGGCCCCCTACTGACCCTGGGCCCTCGGGCAGTGCCGAGTTTCCAAATGGTCAGTCCGCACCTGCCCCCAGCTGACAAAAGAAATGTTAAATTAATTTAATTTCCGTGTAATGCAGCCAACAGCACTCAGCATTACACAATCTACAGTGCTCTTTTTTCATCCATCACTTCTCTAATTACATTTACATTTTTTAGTTTAAGTGTTTACTGTCCACATTCCACGTTTTCAGGTACATAGTTACATAGTTAGCCTGGCTGAAAAAAGACAAATGTCCATCCAGTTCAACCATAGAAAAAAGTTATAATCCTACACCTACAGCTGATCCAAAGGAAAGCAAAAAACCCAGCAAAGCTTGGTCCAATTTGTTCCAGCAGGAGAAATCATCAATCGGCAATCAGATATTCCCTGGATCAACTTTACCTATAAATGTTAGTATCCAGTTATATTCTGTGTATCTAAGAAAGAATCCAGGCCTTTTTTAACCACCTCCCGCCCGTCATATAGTAATATGACGGACACAAGGTGGTTCTCTCCTTCTGGGAGGATGTCATATGACGTCCTACCATTCTCACCGCGCATGCGTGGCTCATGGAGCGTGCAACGCGACGATTGCCGGTGCGCTGTGTCCCTCGAACACAGCGGATCACCGATCACGGAAAGAGCTGAAGATCTCGGCTCGGTCATGTGATCAGCTGTGTCCAAACACAGCTGATCACATGTAAACAGGGAAATGCCGGTTATCGGCATTTCTCTCCACAAGAGCTGTCACTCTGATAGCTTGTGAGGAGAGGAGAGCTGGTAATCGGCTTCCACAGAGGGGGGACATGTACACTGATCATCAGAGCGCTGATGATCAGTGTGCCCTGACGATCAGTGTAGCCCCAGCAGCGCCACCTGTCAGTGTCCATCAGTGCCCTTGTCAGTGCTCATCAGTGCCTCGTGCCAGTGCCACATCAATGCCACATATCAGTGCCTACCAGTGCACATCAATGCGACATATCAGTGCCCATCTGAGCTGCCTTTCAGTGTCACCCATCAGTGCCAGTCAGGGCCACCTATCAATGCCAATCAGTGCCACCTATCAGTGCTGCCTATCAGTGTGCATCAGTGCCACCTAACAGTGCCAGTCAGTGCCGCCTAACAGTGCCAGTCAGTGCCACCTATCAGTGCCAGTCAGTGGTGCCTATCAGTGCTGCCTATCAGTGCCATATATCAGTGCCATGTATCAGTGCTGCCTTTCAGTGCCCATCAGTGATGCCTGCCAATGCCCATCAGTGCCACCTACCAGTGCCCATCAGTGCCACCTATCAGTGCCCATCAGTGCCACCTATCAGTGTCCATCAGTGCAGCCTATCAGTGCCCATCACTGCAGCCTCATTAACACATATCAGTGATGGAGAAAAATCCCTTATTTACAAAATTTTATAACAAAAACTAAGAAAAACTTTTTTTTTCAAACTTTTCTGTGGTTTTTGGTTTGTTTTAAAAAAAAAAAAAACCCAGAGGTGATTAAATACCACCAAAATTAAGCTCTATCTGTCACAAAAAAATGATAAAAATTTCATATGGGTACAGTGTTGCGTGACCGCGCAATTTTCATTCAAAGTGCGACAGCGCTGAAAGCTGGAAATTGGCCTGGGCAGGAAGGGGGTATAAATGCCCTGTAGGCTAGTGGTTAAAGCAATCCACTGAGCTTGCCAGAACTAACTCTTGAGGGAGTCTATTCCACATTTTTACAGCTCTTACTGTGAAGAAACCTTTCCGTGTTTGAAAATTAAATTTCTTTTCCTCCAAATGTAAAGAGTACCCCCTTGTCCTCTGTGATGACCTCAGGGTGAAGAGCTCCACACCGAGTTCACTATATGAACCACTGATGTATTTATACATGTTGATCATATCCCCCCTTCATCTCCTCCTCTCAAGAGAGAATACATTCAGTTCCTCTAATCTTTCCTCATAGCTGAGCTCCTCCATGCCTCTTATCAGTTTGGTTGCCCTTCTCTGTTCTTTCTCCAGTTCCCCAATGTTCTTTTTGTGAATTGTTGCCCAAAACTGAACTGCATATTCCAGATGAGGTCTTACTAATGATTTGTACAGGGGTAAAATGATATCTCTCTCTCTCTGGAGTCTATACCTCTTTTAATACAAGAGAGGATTTTGCTCACTTTAGAAACCGCAGCTTGGCATTGCATGCCATTATTAAGCTTGTGATCTACCAGAACTCCCAGATCCTTCTCCACCATTGATTCCCCCAGTTGTACCCCCCCCAGTATGTATGATGCATGCATATTCTTAACCCCAAGTGCATCACCTTACATTTATCTACATTAAACCTCATTTGCCACATAGTTGCCCAATTAAACAGTGCATTGAGGTCAGCTTGTAAATTGAAGACATCCTGTAATGACGTTATTCCACGGCACAGCTTGGTGTCATCTGCAAAGACTGAAATGGGATTTTTAATCCCAGACCCTATATCATATATAAATATATTAAAAAGTAAGGGTCCCAACACTGAACCTTGGGGTACACCACTGATGACCCCAGACCATTCAGAGTATGAATCATTAACCACTACTCTCTGAATACGATCTTTTAGCCAGTTTTCTATCCATTTACATACAGATTTTTTCCAAGCCTGTAGACTTTACCTTACACATTAGCCATGTGTGGGGAACTGTGTCAAACGCTTTTGCAAAATCCAAGTATAACACATCCACCGCCATCCCTCTGTCCAAGGTTTTGCTCACCTCCTCATAAAAAGAAAATCAGATTTGTTTGACAACTTCTGTCTTTCATGAATCCATGCTATCTGTTGCTTAAAATATTTTTTTCCAGCAAGAACTCATCTATGTGGTCTTTTATTAAACTCTCCAGTATCTTCCCAACTATAGAAGTTAAACTAACAGGTCTATTATTACTTGGTAAAGATTTTGACCCCTTTTTAACCACTTGCCTACCTAAGGATTTACCCCCCTTCCTGACCAGGCCATTCTTTGTGTTACTGTGCTGTGTTACTTTAACTGACAATTGCGCGGTCATGCAAACACTGCACCCAAATTAAATTTACGTCCTTATTTCCCCATGAATTGAGCTTTCTTTCAGTGGTATTTTATTGCCTGTGTGGTTTTTTTTTTGTGCGTTAAAAAAAAAGACCAACAATTTTGAGAAAAATTTTTTTTTTTGACTTTTTGCTATTAAACATGTCCAGTAAAAAAATTTTAAAAATCAAATTTCGTCATAAGTTTATACCAAAATGTATTCTGCTACATGTTTTTGCTAAAAAAACTTCCCAATACGTGTAAATTTATTGGTCTAAGTGAAAGTTATAGCATTTACAAATGGCGGTATAGATACTGGAATTTTTTTTAAGTAATGCTGGCGATCAGCGACTTATAGCGGGACTGCGGCAGGCATTCTGACACTGGGGGGCCACTGACTTGTTGTCGCTGACATCCCCAGAGACACCAATAGAGTGATCAGTGCTAAAAAAAAAAGCACTGATCACTGTACTAATGGCACTGGGCAGGAAGGGGTTAAAATGAGGGGTGATCAAAGGGTTAATTGTGTGCAGGGAGTGTTTTACCTAGGGGGCGGTGTGTTGGTGCTTCACTGTAAGCACACTGCTCTGGATGGCTGTGCTGTGCACAGCCATCCATAGCAGTTTGCCCAAGCTGACAGGGAGGAGGACTGTTAGTAAACAAATCAATCCTCCTGCCCATTGGAGATGCTCGGTAATCACTAAGTGCCCGCGGGTAATCACCGGCTGGGACCCGGTGATTGACAGCCGTGAATGGTGATGCGAGAAGGGCTCGTGCGCGACTCGCGTGCACCCCCCACCCGGAAACACGAAATCACCTATATATTCATGATTTTGTGCACCCCTGCCGCCCTGTAGCAGTATATCTGCTATAGGGCGGTCAAGAAGCGGTTAAATATAGGCACCACATTGGCTTTACGCCAATCCAGTGGTACTATGCCAGGCATTAAAGAGTCCCAAAAAGTTACAAACAATGGCTTTGAAATGACAGAGCTCAATTCTTTAAGGACCCGTGGGTGTTCATGGTCCATGGGCCATCCGGTCCAGGTGCTTTATTCACCTTTATTCTGTCTAAATATTTTTGGATCATATCAATTGTGAACCAATGTGGATCATCTGGAGCTGTGTCAATACCATGCCCATTATGGACAAGAGCTCCCCCATGCTTCTTTGTATACACAGAGCTGAAGAAAGTATTTAATATATTTGCCTTCTCTTTGTCCCCAGTCACTTACTCTAGATTAATTTGTAAAGGGCCTACATGCTCGGAACAGATCTTTTTACTTTTAATATATTTGAAGAATTTTTTGGGGTTTGTCTGCTATCTTTTGCAATCTGTCGTTCGTTTTCAATTTTTGTGGCCTTTATTTCCTTTTTTGCATATTCTGTTATATTCTGTCTAATGTTTAAACGATGATAGCGTTCCTTCATTTTTATATTTAATAAAAGCTCTTTTCTTATTATTCATGGATTTTTTAACTTTGGCTGTTGCCCAAGGGAATATATTTTGCAATGTGTTCACATACAGTCTTTTTGAAGAACTCCCATTTCTGTGTTGTGTTCATCGATGCCAATACTCCCATTTTTGTGTTGTGTTCATCGATGCCAATATTCCCTCCCAGTCTTGGAGAGAAGCTCTCAATCTTGGAAAATTAGCTCTCCTTAAAGTTGAGCGTTTTTATTTTTCCCGTATGTGCTTGATGATTACAGCTAACAATAAATGAAATCATGTTATGGTCACTGCTACCCAGATGTTCTTTTATATGGACATTTGTAATAAGCTCTGCATGGTATGAGATTACCAACTTCAGCAGAGCATCATTCCTTGTTCTGGCCTCTATGAACTTTACCATAAAATTGTCCTGTAGTAGGTTTATACATTTTTGCTGTTAACTGTTCCTGCAGTACCATTACTCCAGTCAATTTCCGGGTAGTTATAATCATTATCATCACTATCCCAGCCCTTGCAGCCCTTTCGATCTGTGCAAGGAGCTGAGTCTCCACCTCCTCATTAACACTGGGAGGCCTATAACAAACTCCAATGATTACCTTTGTAATTTCTGATAAAACCTTTCTGAAAAATCTTAGTAATGGCATCTCTGTTGTGAGGTTCTCTCATGGGGGATTTATGACAGCTGACATATCACTGAGAATCATTGAAATGATGCAACAGTTTTAAAAGGCTGGCATAGCAGACTTCTCAGGATGCTTCGGACATACCAGCATGAAATGACGACTAACATGTTCTTTGGCCTGGCCAATACCAATGGATCAGTTCCCCATCCCCAGTTGTGGACTGCTTTTGAATTCTTTCAGGTGCCTGTAGTAACAGCATTTCTAGACAACATTACTTTAAGGGCTTACAACTGTCTCACAACATCAGACTTTACCACAGATTGGCAACCACTGGAAGTGAGCAGTATGGTGGAGTGCATCATCTACCCATTGGCTTTCACTATGGCAATTAAGGTTATTAACAGAGCCTCTAAATTGGTGAAGGAAGAAGAACATCTAATTTGGTCAGCGATTGCCACCAATGTGAGCTTATATGGATGATATCATAACTCTCTGCTTCTGTTCAACCTCCTCTAGGGATCCTTGGTATTGAAAACACACAGACACTAAAAAAAACCTGCCCCATCCTGAACATTTAATAGACTATGGCAAGTGGTTTTTCAACTGTGTATAATAAACAGTCCTTTTATAGGAGCTTTGCTATTTTTATTATTTATTAATTAGTGTGAATTTTGTATGATCTCTAGAGTCCACAAGGTAGGGTCCTTTTTAGTAGCCTCCACTTCCATGATGCTTAAGATCTGTATGTGAATGGAAAACTGACTCCATCAGAAGTTGTTAAGACTGCGAAGCCTGTTCTTCATTTCAGGGGAATAGTTAGCCAGGTTGAACATAGAAGAGCTTTTTTTTGAGCTTGTCCCAAACGTTCCTCAGTGGCACAAGGTAACATCAGTGCAGAAGATACAGCTTGTGGTGGAGGAGGTGAGAAGACAGGGGCAGAGAGAGCAACAAGCCAATGTTTTTTTTTTTTTTAATGGACATGCAGGACCAATAGTTTAGCTGGAAAATGGAGTTGGTAAGACATCTGGGAGATGGTTGGATTGTGGATAAAATGTTTTCATTAGAGCCACTTATGACTTCCTACCCACACCCTAAAAAAACAAATGCAGTGGTTGGGAGAAGATTCTGCTTGATCTCTCTGTCAAGCACTTGCATTTCTAAGGCCCATTTTACAGGATGTTTTGTGGGCCTCACCCAAGGGTGTTACATTTGGGGATATAACCAGCATTCATTCACTTTGGAATAGAGGCAAACCGCCAGAAATATTCTCTCAAATTTATAGACAAGGAATGTCCATATTACATGATGTGCACAGAAAGACCAACCTCCAGAGCATCAAATAAGATCAAAGCATATATGCATCCAGCACATCAGTCTGGATTTGAAAATGGATGTGTTTTTCCTCCAGACATTGTGGCTACAACTCTCCGCCCAAACATGGTCCTGTGGTCCACAACAACCAAACTGGTCTACATTGTGGAATTCACAGTACCATGGGAAGATGGTTTCAAATGTCATCCAAATCTCAGGTTTTTATTGATGTCTTCTCCCATTGTTCAGTAGATTTAACGTCTATGGCCATATGGTCATATGATGTAAAAGTATGTAAGGGAAAGGTTTTTGGTGGGGACACAAAAACATTAATAAAAATGGGGGGGGGGGGCGGATAAAAAGTGTTAACCTGTCTCTTTGCATTTGTTTTAGCAGATTTTCCCTCACTTTCTGAGGTGTCATAGGGGAAACCTTTGCAGCATGTATGCAGACAGCAATAAAAACCTGTTAGAGCACTAACCCTTCCCCAGTCCCCCTACCCCACCTTTCCCCTTAAAATAGCCAAGGCTTTTATAATGTACTCTTATTAATGACAAAAAGTATGACTAGTGATAGTCATATTTCATAATCTAGAAATAGTTATTTTTGTGCTCCTTCACTTATTTACAACAAATACTTAATGGAAGAGAATGTTCACTTATTTAGCTTTCTATAACCAATCTTCTTTTTTCTACACAGGGTGGGGTGAAAAATCAGTGGTAAGTGCTTTTTGTGTAACATATTTAGAATGCGTTCTAGATTAAAAATGACCAATCACAAACTTTTTTCAGATTGCTTCATTTAGGGCAGAAACACAGGTGTGTTGTAGTAACGTACACGCCAATGCAACTGTATTGCACATTTTACATGGCACTCCAATGTGCTAAGGCAATGCAGCTCTGATGCACATGCATTGCAGTGCACCACAATGCAAAGTAATGTACTACTGTGTTGGAAAAATGACTGCATGTCCTTTTTTTGGTCTGTTCTCGTGCCCTTGATGAGGCGCATGTGCGTCATCACAACTGACAGGAAGACAACTGACATAAATTCAGTTTACTGAACTTGTAAACTGTTTTAATAAATATTAGTTAATGTTAGATTGTAAAGGCAAAATGTGTTGTATTTTATCATTAATAATGGGGGTCTGAAATACTGATCATCTGACACTTTATTGTTCATCAACATTTACAAAATAACTTTATTATTATATTCTGACTATTAACACTGAAATAACCTTTTGAAGATGTTATTACAGTATAGATAAGCTTTCTCTCTTTTTCTCTCAGCCGGGGTTGCTTTGGCTATCCACTAAGTATCTTCTTTATTGTTGTCAATGAATTCTGTGAACGATTCTCCTACTATGGAATGCGAGGTATGTTATTTTATATCAGCAGATGGATTTACTCTTTCATATTTATTTTGCATTGTATGTATGTTAGCTTGAGAACTCTGGAAAACAGCAGAGGCTAAGAAGTTTAAAAGAAGTTATTTAGCAGTGCATTGTTTTTCTCAGAAAAATATGTATGTTATCAGAATGGATCAAACGGATTCAATAAATTAAACCAAGTCACAATGGCAGATCTTGGGGTGACAGGTGTCCACATATTTAACAGGAAACTATACTGAGACCATTCAGGACAAAGTAATAAATACTGTATACATAATGTACACCCTACAACCTTCTGAGATTAGAAAGAGGGTCAGCTTTTAGCATAAAGTATGTAGGCAAAAGGTCAAGCCCCCAGACATGTGGCTCATGAATAATGAATATACAAATATGACTGATTATACCCACAATTGCATTAATCACCTCTAGATTTCCTTTATACTGGTTTTTATAGTTTAGCAATTATAAAGAGTTTTAATGAAAAGTTTTGCATGGGGAGGTAAGCCTAATAAACTGTTCTTCCCCAGTGCTTATACTTGACTTCTGCTGGCTACTTCACCAACCTATTTCCCATATGGTATTAAAGTGAAATACCTGGTATTTTTGGGTATGGGGGAGCATATGACTCTTTCCTCTCCTCTCTTGATGTGGCATTGGGTACCTGATAAACCAAAGATCAGGGATACACATATTAGCTGCACTATTCTCAGACTTTATTGTACACTTCTCATTAAAAACAAAACATCACATAGTGGGGTACAGCGGAACAAGGCAAGATCGACGTGTTTCACACTCTGACCGTGCTTAGTCATAACCTGAGAAAACCAGTTACTAGGTCCTATCTCATACAAAGCTGTTTGATGGCTGGTAAGGTAAATATATAGAGTGGGGACAGCGGGCTTTTATATGATCTGACACTTTGACAAAAAGTACAGGTTCCCTTTAAGGATAGTTAGGTAACGTCAATAAAATGTGCAGTTAATATTGAAATAGTGTGCTCACTTAAATTATATCCTTTTTGCAGCGGTGTTGGTACTTTATTTTAAATACTTTCTACAATGGGACAATAACCTCGCCACTGTGGTTTATCATACCTTTGTTGCTGTGTGCTACCTGACCCCCATTCTTGGTGCTATCGTTGCTGATTCTTGGTTGGGAAAATTCAAGTAAGTGCTTATGTAATGACATGAATGTTCACAATTCACTATTTTTATTATACCTAAATGGATTAGTTATATTTTGAAACTTTATTTTCCTATTAGAAAAAACAGTATGTTAAGCCCTCATTTCATAGTTTATGAATCTATTACTGCACAAATATTAAACAGATGATAATATATGAACCTTTGCATTTATGGATATCTTTTCTTTATATATAGGACCATCATCTACCTGTCCATTGTTTACACTGTAGGGCAGATTGTTATGTCTGTAAGTGCCATTCATGATATAACTGATGGAAACAGAGATGGAACCCCAGACAACCTAAGTATTCATGTGTAAGTTATTTGACCATACCAACATATGAGGCTTGATATTATTGCTAGTCATGTCACTATGTGCTTTTTAAAATATTTAACCTTTTTCTTTGGTACTAAAAGGAATATTATTTTCAGTTTGTTGAGGAACAGTGCAGCCAGTGGCTTAGTTTATATAGGCTGTGATGCCATTAGGAGAAATAGATAACAAAATAATGACAATGTTACTTGTAGTGACTCACTTCATATGGTGACATAATGATTTCAGATACTTTAAGGTTTCATTTACACTTTCAGAATATATGTGCAACTTTTGTGGGATGTGGAAGCATTTTGAAGGAAGAGGGTTCTTTTTACCTCAGTTTTTCATATTCAAATATTTTATTGAGAAGCACAAAAGCCATCACATGCAAAGTACTGTCTATTACTAGTAAGAATTGGCTCCACACAGGGAGAAATACAGGAATAAAACTTTGTTAACAGGTAGGATCAAACAGTAATCCCAACACAGGGGGCTGATCGATAGATGGATAGTAACAATCTGACAGATGATGGCACACAGCAAAATATTGCACAATTTAAATATAAAAGAAGCTAGAAAGCTGGATGGTCCACCCCAGCCATGGCCCATATATCTTTTCCAGGAACAATCATCAGTATTCCTGGGGACCAGGCAATGTTGGCGAAATATGCATCAAAGTTCAAGTCAATAAAAGGGGGTGATAGAAAGATGGTAGGAATAAAATAGAAGGAGGGGATTGTTAAGGGAAATGAATGGTTTTGAGGGTCGAACCGGCAACGGTTCCAAGAACGCAATCAAAAGGGAAAAGTGTAGAGTCAATTAAGGCTCTGTAAAGGAGGCGTCAAAATCAGGAGGTAAAATGTCGTCAATCCAAGGTTGCCAAATTTTAGTGTACCGTTCCACCCTGTCCTGAAGCTTTGCCTCAATCTTGGCATGTATCATGTATCATCTGACTGACACGATTCTTTGTAGCCATTATGCATCTTCCAGGCTTTAACTATATTCTGTTTCACAGCAGTTGTGATAAAAAAAGAGGAAATGACATTGGTTTCTGAACAGCTTCTGAACAGCTTCTGAACATTTAACAGGGCTATTTGTGGATTTTGTGGATTAGGTGAAATGGGCTTAGCAAATAATGAAGAACGAATTGAGAATATTTCTTCTAAATAGGACTGTACAGTAGAGTAAGTCCACCATGTGTGTATACTGTATATGTATTAGGCTCCCCTGATCCCTGAAAACAGGTGGGTGAATAGCCTGGGGCACACTTTGCTGTCCTGTGTGAAAGTAAATACCATCTTAATAAAACTTTATAGGAGGTCTCCAGGGTAGCCACATTAGGAGAGGCCTTGGGAGTTGTTTGCCAAATGTCCAACCAGTCCTCATGAGAAAGGTCCAGGGCTAAGTCTGTGGTCCATTTCACGACATATGCTGGGGTGGATATAGGGGTTGTGTACAGTTTAGATATAACTTCATTTGTGTGTTGGTCAGATGCGCAAAAATGTTAGTATACAGACATTTTACCTCAGTTTTTTACTTATTCCTCTACTTCAGTTTCTGTACATGTTTTTAACATCAGATTACTTTTTATATGTGCTTGCAGAAGTTTATGTCAGGTAAATCACTTACAGCAAAATAAAGCCAGAAAAATACACATACTTTGTAAACTGCAGGAAAAGGTTGTTAACCACGTGAATTGCACTATTCATTTATATTAGACGTATTTTGGTACACTGCACTTTACCAAAGCTACATGCTGCTAGAGTTAGTTTGGCCTATAGTAGAAGAAAGTGAACTTTCCAAGCTCCATGTCCAGATTTCACAATCAAAGGCAATGAGCGATAAATTAAAAGAGCATAAGAATATTAAAATCAGAAGAATATTCAATCAGACATCTAATAGGCATTGCTAACCACTGTGCCTTTTATTTGATACAGCCAAACATTGTTTTATCAGGATAGTCTTCTAATGTTTTATTTTTTTATTATTATTATTTTAAGGCAGGACAAGTTTGGCCATGTATTGTCTTACAAACATAATAGGCCACACAGTACTGGGATAAATTTACCATGCATGAAAGTATGTTCTATTCTATGTACTTTACCAGAGCAGTAAAATATTACACAATGGATGTGGTATTTAGACAAGGAACTTTATGAGCGTATTGTTTAACAGATCTAAAGAATTACATTTTTTTTATTTCTGTAGTGCATTATCAATGATTGGCCTCATCCTGATTGCTTTTGGCACCGGAGGGATTAAGCCTTGTGTAGCAGCCTTTGGAGGAGACCAGTTTGAGGAACACCAAGTATGAGAACACCACTGAAAAAAATAATTTTAATTCCTTCTGTACATTATAAATCAATTCGAACCCTGTATTCATGTTTTCATGGGATTATACAAATATTGTAAATGGCTGAAAGGCAGAAATTATTGGGGTTAAAAAGAGGCACACTGGTGTTATCCTGACTGTAGTACTTTTGATATGTACATCTAGTATGATCTAGATGTACATGGCCATAGGTCATTTTTTTTTTCCTGGTCGGAGTTGAGTCTTGGGCACCCAGCGGAGCACAATTGGGCAGTATACTTCACGTGCCATAGCAAGTTGTAGCTATGACAAAAATGTGCTAACAGTGTGAGGGGCTTAAAACTTGAGCCTACTCACTGAGTACTAAGTAACATATTGTATGCTACAGTTCTTGTACCGAAACAACACATAAGAGGTAGACAGCAGTGTTAGGAAAGCAACAAAGTTTCCCTTGCAAATCTGACTTACCTACTCTTGAATGATCCATCCATGTGGGCTATTTCTTCTCTCTCTGTGGCCTCCCAATAGCTCTCTCTGCCTGCCACATGTCCTGCCAATTACCTCCAGTGTCTCACACTGCCTCCTGCCTCCCATGACTTAAAGGAGCCATCAGCCAGGATGCTTTGAGGGGGGTGGGGTTTAGACCCCCATATTCCCATCCTTACCCTACCTTATCTACTCCTCTGTAAATGTAACAAAAGCAAATAGCTGGTCATTGCTTCCATTTAATAGCAACTTTGTCACCTCCATAGCTTATGGTACTTGATATAGTCAGGGTGTAAGGGATGGATTTTCCATTGAGCGCATAGGGCTGCAAGGGAGGTAGAAATGATGTGAACTAGTAAAGAGATCCTTTAGACCCCTTTTATGTGCAGTTCAGGGAAACTATGCCATGGGAATAAATTAAGTTTCACTATTAATTTATGTTTGTCCCTTTGAGATCAGTGAAATCTTATTCTTTCATTCCCTAGACATAGTCTGAGCCTCTCTGCCACTGTTATGGTGAAAGAACGCCATCTCAATGATATGCTGGGTGAAGCCCACAAAGCTTTTTCCCCTTTTCTGAGTGGCTTCACAACAGTTCTCCTTATTTGTCTTTGGGGGTGGGGAGACAGATCACTTGTATAGTCTGAAATGGGGAAAGAACTGACAAAAGTGCCTTAGTGCCAACAAGAAGAGAAAAATATCCTGTTGTGTGCAGAGAGACCGGCACCAGAATGCACCAGATTTCTCTATCCAAAACTATCGAAAGGTAAAAATAAGTATAAATATTAAATGCTATATATATTTAATACATTTTACATCATATCAAACACACTGAACAGAATATGTTTCTTTTGGCAGGATAAGCAGAGAAGTAGTTTCTTCTCCATCTTCTATTTGTCAATTAATGCTGGAAGTCTTTTGTCAACCATTATAACGCCTATTCTCAGAGGTATATTCATAGATCTATAGTGTTTTAACCTCTGCCAGTAATTGTAATAGGCAGAAAGGATGTTAAAAATAGACACAAAATGGATGTACAGATCATATAATATATTATAATGCGTACCTTGTGTCAGAAAGGGTTTCTTAAGAGAAAATATGCAATATTATTATATGGGACAGTACACATCTATATAACCAAATGCTAACTAAATAATTGCATACAACAAATACAAGTGTAGAAAGACAAAATATTTTAGAAACGTTGTGTACTTAAAAAGCCTAGCCGAAGTTTAGATGGACAGAACCTCAGACCCTTTAAACCAGGCTTTCTGAAAGCATACCTGCAGTGACTTTACATCTACTGTGTATTGGAGGCATACCCTAATGCAACCAAGGCCACTCTGTTACATAAATTCTGGACAGAATTTGTAAGCCCTGGCCTGTCCATATGGGTTAGTAAATGTGATGGGTTGCCCTACTGGCTAACAAGAGGATACAGGGGTCAGGAAGGAGTGGAACACACCAGCATCTTTCCTAGTATCACATGTCAAATAACAAAATACAGAGGATAAATTGGGAAGCATCTCTGCATTGATCTAAATTTAGTGATTTTTTGTTTCTTTTTTTAAGGGAGCACCGAGGATGGTATTTATATGCATGACAAGTGTCCCATGTGCTGACAGCTGTTCTGTTCCTTGCAATGTTTTATCCTTTAACCCCCCCCCGGATACCCCCACAGCTGTGATCTTCAGGTGCTGTAGGGGTAAATACATGCAAGTGCACCTGTCACAGGAACTTATCAAAAGTATTGACTATGCTTGCCATTTCCTTTTGATGCCCCATTCATAGAAGCGGTAGCATACCCCCTCGGTTTCTGCCCAAATAACACACCTACTGAGCGACATATCAGATTGGATGTTGCTCCACTTCCTTAAACTGAATCTCTCCAAAATCGAGCTCCTTGTCTTCCCCCCAGCCCGAACCCCACCCCCCATTGACTTCTACATCACATCCAACAACGCCAATATCAAACCCGCTCTGCAGGCCAGAGTACTTGGTGTCATTCTGGACTCCAACCTATCCTTCCAGCCCCAAGTCCAATCTTTAACAAACTCGTGCAGACTCCACCTCCGCAACATCGCCAAAATCCGCACGTTCCTAACCCCAGAAAACCACTAAACAGCTCATCCACTCCCTCATCATATCACGACTCGACTACTGCAACTCCCTCCTCACTGGCCTGCCTCGCCGCTGGCTATCCCCGCTTCAGTCGATCCTGAATACGGCTGCCAGACTCATTCACCTTTCCAACCGCTCCGTTTCCGCCACCCCCCTCTGCCAATCCCTCCACTGGCTTACGATTGCGCAACGGATCAAATTTAAAATCCTAACACTGACATACAAAGCTGTCCACCATACTGCCCCGAACTACATCACTGACCTAATATCCAAGTACCGCCCAGCACGCACACTCCGCTCCTCACAAGACCTCCTTCTCTCTAGTTCCCTGGTCTCCTCCTCCCATGCCCGCCTCCAGGACTTCTCCAGGGTGTCACCCATCCTCTGGAACTCCCTGCCCCAACCCATCAGATTATCATCTACTCTCCTCTCCTTTAGGCGCACCCTGAAAACCCATCTCTTCAGGGAAGCCTACCTCACCCCCTGCTAACTTGCTGACCTCCTCCACTCTTCCTACCACTCCATCCCCCACAGCTTTCTCCTCCTGTGTACCACCATCCCCTCCCTCCTAGATTGTAAGCTCGAAAGAGCAGGGCCCGCGATCCCCTCATGTTTTGCATTGTATTGGTATTGTTCTGTCACATGTTCTGTCCCCCTTTGTAATGTACAGCGCTGAGTGAACTATTGGCGCTTTATAAATACTGTATAATAATAATAATAATAATAATCATCAGTCCCCACAATGAAAAGCGCTCTGTGAATGGAGGAGGTGGATCTGTCATTCATCTGTCCATCTTCCATTTATAGAGTGCTTTTCATTGTGCGAACCAATAATACAGCTTCTATGCATGGAGGAGGGAGGTGGAAAACACAGGCATAGTTGCCAATTTTCAGGAATGCAGTGACAGCTGGATCTGTTTGTATTAACCCCTGCATCACCAGAAGATCACAGCTGTGAGGGTACCTGGGGGCAGAGGACAGAAAGTTTCAAGGAAAAGAGCAGACACCAGCACACAGGACAATTGTCAGTCATTTAAGTACCATGCCTGGTGCTGATTTTTTTTTATTTTTATATAATATATATATAATCTTTATTTATAGAGATTTTTGTCATAGAATAGCACAGACAACAGGAAAGAAAAACATTTAAAAATACAAATTATCAATACTTTAGGTGTTACACAGTTGTTGCCCATAGTGATCGTTTGAAAGGTGAGGGAGAAAGCATGTGGCCTAAGCAACATTAAACCCTCTAAGATATTGGCATAGATACCAAATGAACTATAGAGTGACAAGTAGGCATCAGAGGAGTAATCATGAGCAGGCGAGCTGTGCGCCTTGTGTAAACACCACCCAGGGCGCATAGTAGGAGTGGAGCACATGACCATTCCTCTCAGTACAGTGCTAGGAGGGACCTCAGCCCAATAGGGACTAGGCCACTCCAGAGTTGCCCCTTCAGTTGAGTCGGCACACCCACCATTCTCAAGGTAAAAGCAAGAGTGCCACTGTTCCGCATAAGAGAAGGCCAAACACCCATTCGCTTACCAAAACAATTTAGGGCAAAATGTTTGAAAGGAGTAAGTAGGCATATAAAGTATAAAAAGAAAAAACAAACCAAAAACTGACAAGCAATATAAAACAAAATAAAGTAGAGCATAAGATCTAGATGTACCCTAGACAGCCTAGTCAACAAGAATCAATCCCAATCCAGGGGAGTCTCTCACTACAAGATCCTTGAAATAAGAACTATCCAGTTGCCTTGGTGCTGTTTTAAAAAATAAATACATAAATCACTAAAATTCAAATTCCGTGTACAGTTCTGCAATGGATGATGCTCCAGGTTCTCCTCTGTTCTAGTAAAAAAACTAAAACGAAATCACAGCGGCCTAAAGAACCAAGTCCATTCAGGGCACAGGAACTAACTTTCTCTTTGAAAATAGGCTAGGTACTAGTGGCTTAAAGAATACAGACCTCTCAGGGCTCAGGGCTTAGGATCTAGTTTACATTATGTAAATAGGGTAGTTGATTGTGGACTATAGGACCTATTTATACCTCTGCTTTGGCCAATATGGATATAGCCTATAACTAATAAAAGTGTATTAGTGGGAAAACAGAGTTTTTTACATTTATCTTTGTCAATGGCATATTTAAAATGAAAATTTTAAACATCTCAAATGTTGCAGGTTGCCTAGTCATGTTGTCTGACATAGGGCCCATGCTGTCTCTCAGTTACCCAAGACTGTAACACAACTATAAAGTTCCAAAATTACTTTCGAAAAGCAATATCTGACAAAAAAAAACTGTGACGGATTTTGTCAGCTGAACATGATTCACTTAAATATATAATTATTGCTAAATGATTTATATATTTATAAATGAAGGCATGTATTTCATGTCACTTTGCAGCTGTATTGCACATGCAAACCATTACTACTGTAGCTAGGTAAACCTAACGTATACTGTATATGAAAAATAGATTTTATGACAAAAGTTGAATGGAATCCAGATTGTGCTTACATTTTTAACTGGTTTATTATCTGTGTTCTCAGGACAAGAATGTGGAATTCACAGTCAGCAGAAGTGCTATCCTTTAGCATTTGGTGTGCCTGCTGCTCTCATGGCGGTTGCTCTCCGTAAGTTATGTGCATTCAAAGGGTTTAAACTGGGGAAAAAAATTAACAAAAAGTAAAAAAGATTTTTTTGTGCATTACCTTAGGTTCACACCTAAGCATTTTCCACAGTGTTTTGCATTTTTGCAGAAATGCACTATAGTCCATTTAACATGATTTCCTATGGGACACGTTCACATCTCCGCGTTTTCACCTGGTGCATTTTTTCGAAAGGGTCAGGGACTTTTTTGAATGCAAAAAGTTGAATTTTTGATTCTATAGACTTCAATGGAAACGCTGCAGAAAAGCATGTAGTGCATTTTTCTGCACTTTTGCTGCATTCCTTCCAAGTTTTTGATGCGTTTTGCCTTTTGTATTTTAAATCTGCCTAGCAACAAGAACAAAAAAAGGCAAAACGCAACAAAAAGGCAGCAAAAGAGCAGGTACAAAAATGCAATACAGAAACAGGTCAAACGCAAAGTATATAGGTGTGAACCTAGCCTTAGAGTAGATAATTAACGTGAACACAGTTTCAAATTATTCACTAAATTAATAGAAATGATAATTTATTGATCAAATAGCCAATTTACTGCTATACATTTCTGGCAGGTATAATTCTTTTATAGACACATTAATATTAAAAGATCATATTGTTATTGCAATGCAACATTCAATACAACAATTAATTCATATAATTAATATTTAATTTGAAAACTGTAGAAGTGTAGAAAAGAGGTTTGTCCCATTAGGCTACTCATAATTTTACAATCCCCTGAGATTATACAGTCAACGTTTATGGGGTTAATTTACTAAAGGCAAATTGTCTGTTTGCTTTGCAAGGGAATTTGCCACAGAAGCTCTGTTGCCTTCCATCTTCTAGTCATGTATAAGCAAAAATGCAGTTTTTTTATTTCTTTTGCACGTGATTGGTTATTTTTTGCAAAGTGAAGCTTCACCACATTCGTTAAAGTAATACTAAACCCAGAACCCTGCATTCACTATATCTGGTCTACCACAGTACACACAATATGGAAATGCAATTATTATAGTAAATATAAACTACTAAATACCTTTTCTCATCATCAGCAGTATATAGCAGTCTTGTAGCTTCTATCAGTGTCCAGTAGAGCACTGGTTAAAGCTTGTTGGAGGAGTTTTCTTTCTGGTCTAGGAGGATGTGAAACCTCTGACCCTCTGTGTGAACAGTGCTGATTGGCCCTATGCTGATCACATGCAGCCTCCAAAGAAAAAAAAAAACTCTTTAGCAATACACACCAAACTGAGCATGTGCATGTGACCACAGGTTCAGTCTATATCAGGTGGTCATTTCAACAAGAGGAGGGACTATGCAGATGATTAACCCCTTAGGTTCCACTGTGAGTATAACAAGCATGCTTTACTGCATATACAGACTGATTTTACTGTTGTGTGTTTAGTAACACTTTAAGCTCTGCAACAAATTCCTTTGCAAAGTGAACAGCCTACTTGCATTTAGTAAATCAACCTTGATACATCTGACTGCACAATCTCAGGGCACAGAGCTTTACCATGTAAAAATATCAGTCCTACAAACTAAGCATCCAGATGGGACAGACCTCTATTCTACACTTGACCAGTTTTCAAATTAAACATAACTCACATATGATGCACATGATCTGCATTATATGGGTTGCAGAAATCAAACCTGTTCTTTGAAGAATTTAAAGTATCTAAAACCAAAATGAACTTTTTAGTTTTGGATATACAGGGGAATGGTTGAAAGCCCTGTTATTATTGTTGTTTGGTTTTGATCCATTTTTCCCTGCCTCCTTATAAAACTATAATTGTGATGTATGTTTGTACAGCATTAAGGCAGTTAAGGTACTATTCTCTGTTCTATGTCATGCTATGACAATATAATCTTAATATCGGCAATTTGTGTTCTTAAAATCTCTTCATTTTCTTCCAGTTGTGTTTATTGTTGGCAGTAGAATGTACAAGAAAGTCTCTCCTCAGGGCAATATAATGTTGAAAGTTTTCAAGTGCATTTCTGTAAGTAAATTAATGCTTAGAATAATAATAATCTCCAAACAACGTAATAACAATTTTATTAGTAAGCACAATTTCTATTACACATGGCACTTATCTGTAGATGCGGTATTTGTAATATAATGTATTCATCTTTGTGCTAAGATTCACTATTGTCTTTTGTACTAGTAATTCCTGATGTGTATTTTATAAGAGACAATTACATGTGCTTTATTATCTGTTCTATGAAATACTAATCTGTCAAACTTCTTACCAGTTTGCCATCAGTAATAGATACAGAAATCGAAGCAAATCAATACCAAAGAGGGAGCACTGGATGGACTGGGCAAAGGAAAAGTATGAAGTAAGAAAAAAAAAAACCTCTAGATTTTCTAGTCACTTTTTATTTGTAAGCACACTTTCAAAACTTAATATCAGGGGTGGACTGATGACTCAAGGGGCCCCCGGGCAATAAGGGATCATGGGGCCCCTGTGTCTTTGCCCACACTCAAAAAAGCCTATAAAGAAGGTACCAGGGGCATTTCATGGGGCCCCCTACTGGCCCCGGGCCCTCGGCAGTGCCCGAGTGCTCGAATGGTCATTCCTCCCCTGCTTGATATAACAGTCCAGCCTCTTTCACATGGGCAAAAATGCCACGTTTTTACTGATCTGAACTCAGGTGAATTGTTGTCTATAGAACAGTGGTTCTCAACCTTTCTAATGCACGACCCCCCTTAATACAGTTCCTCATGTTGTGGTGACCCCCAACCATAAAATTATTTTCGTTGCTACTTCATAACTGTAATTTTGCAGTGGGAGGAGTAGTGCCACGTCATTGGTTCAGTGGGAGGAATAGATCACTGATGTCAATGGGAGGAATAGTACCCATCATTGGTGTCAGTGGTAGGAAATAGTGCCCCTATCATTGGTGTCAGGTAGGAATAGTGCCCCCATCATGGTGTCAGTGGGAAATAGTGCCCCATTCATTGGTGTCATGGAGGAATAGTGCCCCATCAGGTGTCAAGAGAATATGCCCCATCATTGGTGTCAGTGGGCAGGAATAGTGCCCCATTCATTGGTGTCAGTGGGAGGAATAGTGCCCCATCATTGGTGTCAGTAGGAATAGTGCATCATTAGTGCAGTGGGGGGAAAGTGCCCCATCATTGGTGTCAGTGGGGGGAGGAATAGTGCCCCATGTTGGTGTCAGTGGTCTTTATGGAGGACATTTTGCCCCATCGTTGGTGTCAGTGGGGGAGGAATAGTGCCCCATCTTGGTGTCAGTGGGGGAGCCAGGTGTCAGTGGAGGGAGGAATAGTGCCCCATCATGTGTCAGTGGAGGAATAGTGCCCCAACACTGGTGTCATAAGGAATAGTGCCCCAACACTAGTGGTCAGTGGGAGGAATAGAACACTGGTGTCAGTGGGAGGAATAGTGCCCCAAACACTGGTGTCAGTGGGAGGAATAGTGCCCCAACACTGGTTGTCAAGGAATAGTGCCCCAACATTGTCAGGGTAGGATAAATCATTGGTATCAGTAAAGAGGCCATGAATTGCCAGTGCCCCCATCATTGGTGTCAGTGTGAGGAATCATTGGTACAGGGGGAAAATAGTGCCCCAACATTGCTGTCAGTGGGAGGAATAGTGCCCCTCAAAAGAGGAATAGTGCCCCATCGTTGGTGTCAGTGGGGGGAGGGAATAGTGCCCCATCGTTGGTGTCAGTTAGTGCCCCATCGTTGGTGTCAGTGGGGGAGGAATAGTGCCCCATCATAGTGTCAGTGGGGGAAATAGTGCCCCATCATAAAAATAAGTGCCCCATCAATGTCAGTGGAGGAATAGCTGCCCATCAAAAGGTGTCAGTGGGGGGAGGAATAGTGCCCCATCATTGGTGTCAAGGGGGAATAGTGCCCCATCATTGGTGTCAGTGGGGGGAAATAGTGCTCCATCATTGGTGTCAGTGGGGGGAATAGTGCTCCAACATTGGTGTCAGTGGGGAATAGTGCCCCATCATTGGTGTCAGTGGGAGGAATAGTGCCCCATCACTGGTATCAGTGGGGGGAGGAATAGTGCCCCATCGTTGGTGTCAGTGTGGGTGGGAGGGGGGGGATAGTGCCCCATCATTAGTTACCAATGATTGGGCACTATTCACTGACACCAATTGATACTTACCTTGCTGACACCCCTGCTCCAGCCTGGGCTTGTACAGAGAACTTACCGGTCAGATGTCTTCCTTCTCCGGCCGCTCTTCCTCCTCTTCAAAAAACCCTCTTCGCCTTGAGGCTCCACCTTCGCCGGTGATTGATGGCCGCCTGTGTGCCTCTCCTGAGCTACAGTTCCGGCGGCCAATCACCGACGAGGAAGGATTGATCCCGGGGGGTGTCCAGATGACAGGGACAGCATGTCATCCCCCGCCCACACCTGGAGACGGATCAAGGAGCAGTGTCCTCGGTTCCTAAGGCCATCGGAAATATGCCGATGGGTCTTAGGCGACCCCTGGGAAAGTGTCGTTCGACCCCCCCAAAGGGGTCGCGACCCCCCCAGGTTGAGAACCGCTGCTATAGAACAATGCACACAGCTATTAAAGATTAGTAGTATCCATTAACGTATTCAAAGACATAAAATTAAACTAGAAAATTATGTTGGTGTGCATGAATTTACAGGACATATAAATTCACGAATGTGTGTATATGAATGGCAACTAGAAGAGGATGAAGAAGACGTTTTACGCATGTATACCAAACTTGCATTTATGTGCTTATGCGTGTGTATATGCTCCTTTATGGAACATTTTAACTCAGGATCTTTCTGCCAGCAAGATCCTACATATAAACATCATAAAATATTTAATTTAGAACAAAAATTGTGAATGCGCTAACTCCTCAAATGTGAAACATAAACCTTAAAAAACAAACAATAATATCAATCCTCAAAAAAATCAAATGTGAAGTTTTATCAGTCCAATCCAACATATAATAATGTTGTGCTATCATCCAAAAATTCCAAAAAACCGTGCTTGGATTGCAGCCCCACTCCCTGCTCACCTATGAGGTTTGATCATTATAAAAGGCAAATACACTTTTAGAAGAACTGTGTACCTCCAAATTCTGCCAAGTGGTATTCCTTCCACGTGTTATATCTTCATTGAATCTTAGCTCCAAAACTGTGCATAAAATGAAATATATACCGTAGTGCAACTCCCTTTTTAAAAAACTACCGTATATATTATACCCCATTCACGTATGGACCCACCCCAATATTCCCCATTTCTCCACCCCCACCCAAATTAATCCATAGTGCTTCCCATCACTAAAAAATGTACCATGCTTATTATTTGCCTCATTCATTACATTATTACACCCCCCCCCCACCATGTGCAAGAGGCCTTAGGCTACTTTCACATGTATAAATGTATTGTGTAATGCTGCGTTTGTCCTCTGACACAGGTTTTTCGATTTTGTGTTACAGATCTGAATGCAGTGCATGTTTAGGCACCTGTATGAATGTCTCTATTGAGAACAATGCAGCTGCATTCTGATCTGTAAATAAAAAACAGTTGTAAATATTTTTTTTTTTACGGCCGTGTGTAGGAAGCCTTATAGTATGAAATTACAAGAGACAAGAAATTATTTACCATGAGTGACAAAGGAAACCAAGTGATGCAATCATTTCATGCCCCACTTCCAACAATTATAATGTCTATGGAAGGAGTAATGTAATCAGCAGGTCAGATCACTGAAATAAATCTCCCTTTGACTAACAAAAATACTATATTTTTGGAGCTTTTAGCTTGTATACTGTATGTCATTGGCTAAATTGGTAACCATTATCTATGAAGGTCCTTGTGGCATGCAGCTCATTCAAGGATGGCCAAATGGCTCATCACCCATCTTTATTGGAGGAACATTTACACAGCTAACCTAAAGCAAGATAGCAGCAGGACAGTTACAAAAGTGATTCAAATGACAGTATGTAAAGTGAATCTATCAAGAGTTCATGTTTTACTGACTTGAGACCAGATTGGTTGTTAAAGGCTTCTGTGCACAAATCAGATATTTGAATTTCCAGTAGTTTAATTCCGTGCTAGGAGAGAATGCCCATTGGCATCCAACATACAGGTACCAAAATGCCAACTGCAATTTATGTCAGTACTCCCAGTACAGAGTTGGATATGGCTTTTAAACTGACAGCAGATCCCCACAGATTACATTGGGAGAGATGCTGTCCTAGTTTAATCTATATAAGCAGCAGGTCCACAGCCCATGTTTATAGGTATAAGCATGCATATCAGTTACATTTAATCTATTTGTATGTTGTATGTTTCTTAATTTTGTGTTACATTTGAACTCCATACAGATATAAAAGACACAAATTATTGGAACTCTGTATTCATTATAATAATAATAATAAATGGTCTAATAATTATTAGACCAGTCAATGTATTTTTAAATGCCTGTGGTATAAGTACCTGAATTTGACTTGCTATCAGTGTTGTGCAGTTCCTGTACAGCAGACAAGACTGGAAAAAGGAGAATCAAAACAAGAATACATTCAGTTGTGCTGCAGTGCGTATATACTAAAAAGGTAGATGTTGACAGGAGGAACGAGCAGAGTGACAGAGAGCTAGCTTAATCAGTCTGTTGCTTCTTCTTTCACTCTCCAGTCCTGTAATTGTTACTTAACTGCAGCAGAGAGCATTTGGGTCTTCTTTCCTGTCAGACAGTACTGTGCTGTGTGGTAATGCTGTGCAAATCTTAGGACTAAATGGACAAAAAACAAATTCAGGTGAAACTGCCCACCTGTATATTTTACTATTTGCCTGGAGTTTAACTTTAATAAGCTCTCTTACATTTTAAAAAAAAGTGGAGATGATATTTCAATACAACGAACCAATACTTTACACTTTGGTATAATGTATATATTATTTCTTTCCCTAGGAGCGTCTCATTGCTCAGATTAAGATGGTAGTGAAGGTTCTATTCCTGTACATTCCCCTTCCAATGTTCTGGGCTCTTTTTGATCAACAGGTAATGTATCAATGTAAATAGTAATTTGCTTAGGCAAGAAATGATTAGTGATGAGAGGGACGTACCTGGGTTTGGTTCATGTTATGTTTAGTGAACCTTACCGGAGTTCGTATGTTGAATCCTAATGCCATGAACATCGATGAGAGTCAAAGCTTGGAAATCAGCAATGACCATTCTCTATGCTAATTGGCAGGGGATTGTATAACAAAGGATATGGGTTTCTGGGCAGTGCCCTGTGAGACATGTATCAACTAAAAAAAAATAATAGAAAATTACATGCTGTGGGGAGCAGCTATTTTAATAGTGCTTTAGGTGAAACTTTCAAAATTCCTTTAAAGCCTGAATGCGCCAAAGTAAAAAACAGAAAAATCAGCAAAAATTAGGGACATAACTTGGGATGTGTTCAGCTTCTATTACTGAAAAATGCTCAATGAATGGAGGGGGGGGGGGGGGGAATCATTGAACAGTCCACCCCCTCCATTTATAGATTCTATTTCATTCATGGAAACTGTAATAAAGCTGTAATAAAGCTTATATAAATGGAGTAGGTGGGAAGAAAAGGTTGGGCATAGATGGGCACTCTTGATGAAAGCCTACGACAGCCCCTTAGTTCTATTAAACCCTGCTGCACCAGAAGATTATGGCTGCGGGGCTGGGGGTGGGGGAACATGGCATAGGAGGATTTCACCTAAAAGAAGAGGCATCAGCACAAAGGACATGTCCTACTGACTGCAAGTTATTTCCCTTGTGCTGATTCTTCTGCTTTCTATTTTGGCTGCACTCAAGCTTTAAATAACATGATTGAGGAATGCCCAGTACCTACCTGTAAAATGGCATATTTATTTATTATTTATTATAGGTACTATCAGTATGATGTCCTTAAAGAGAAGCTCCAGTCTCCCCCCCAAAAAATTTAAAAGTCAGAGTCAAATACTGTAGTTGCTGAATCTTAATATAAGGACACTTACCTGTCCAGGAATCCAGCGATGTCCTCACCTGAGCCGATACTTCAATCGGCTTCGGGTTCAGGCGCCAGTATCTTAGGTAAGGAAAACTGGCAGTGAAGCCTCCATGCCGGTTTCCTACTGTGCATGTTCGAGGCGCACGTTGTGAATGGTCCCAGCACCTGTGATGTGTCCCAGATGACTGCAGGGGTGAGGAGGAGGGGCAAAACATCGCAACGGCGATCTGACCGGAAGTGGGAGTGAGTACCCGTCAAAACCAGGTACCTGCTCCCCCCCAAAAAAAAGTGGGGGGTAGATTGCAAACAAGCAGAACTTCCCCTTTTGGGTAAAGTTCCACTTTAATAAAGGACCTGTCAAAGTGTTGTGAATGAGTACTATGCACCCTTTTATTCTTCCAATAAGTCCCCATCCTCAGACCTCAACAATCAACTATACAGGTCTGGTATTGATTTTGGGGTACCCCACACATTTTTTTTTGCATGGGGTCCCTCTTGAAATTTATACCAGACCTGAAGAGTTTCACATGAATTTTAGCCTTTTTTTATTGTGTTAGCCACCATCCATGCCCCTTTGTTTACATTAACCTGTCAGCTGAATGGACCAGATGGGGATGACACAATTGGGGCAATTTACTAAAATTGGTGCGCACAGAATCTGATGCATCTGTGCATAGTAACCATACAGCTTCTAATTTCAGCTTGTTCAATTAAGCTTTGACAATAAACCTGGTAGCTGACTGATTTCTATGTACAGCTGCACCAGATTTTGTATCATGCAGTTTTAGTAAATAACCCCCAATGGTTGTTAGGATGCTGGCAGACTCAGGTTGTCTAACAACCAGCCTGGGTGGGAAGCTGTCACAATATGCATCCAAGTTAGCTTGGCTGTACCCCACACTCCAAAAGTAAAATTTGGACCAAACATGGGTTCAGTCTGAACCCAAACCTCAATCCCTACAAAGGATACATTCATCAAAACTACAGTGCAGTTTACAAACAGAAGGGGGTAATGTTTGTTATTAAGAATATGTTGCTGCCAGTTTTATACATTATGGAATCTGCACTCCATCATCTCTAATGTTTCCTCTGTCTATCTAATGTTTGAAGGGCTCAAGGTGGACACTGCAAGCTACCACTATGGATGGAAACTTTGTAAGTATTGAACATTTTGATTAATGCCATATTTGCAGTCACTGGGGGACATTTTCCTAAGTATATGCAACCTCCTGCATACAAATAGCAACAAGGCACATTTTTACACACTCATCCTAGACCTGTGAGTGCCTAATGTAGTGCAAATCTAACACACGGTGCTAAACTCATCTGCCTGCATATATGCTGTATGTTACATATATATTATAAAAATCCTAATGTTTCTGCTCCGTTGCCCTCCACACTCTGTAATAAGATCACACTTGTCCCCCCAGTGATTGCAACAAACCTCTGCTTGCCATTATTACTATTAATGTAAATGTGTCACAAATTGAGATTAAAATGATTAACATGAAATTACAGGTTTTAGATTGTAAAATCTAATGAGCAGGGCCCTCTGATTTCTCCTTTATTGAATTGTATTGTAAGTGTATTGTTTGCCCCCAAGTTGTAAAGATCTGCGCAAACTGTTGGCGCTATATAAATCCTGTATAATAATAAATGCCCCTCAATGGGGTTTATTTACTAAAGCTGGAAAGTGCAAAATCAGGCTCACTTCTGCATAGAAACCAATCAGCTTCTAACCTCATTTTGTTCAATTAAGCTTTGGCAAAAAAAAACCCTGGAAGCTGATTGTTTTCTATGCGGCCGTGAGCCTGATTTTGTACTCTGCAGCTTCAGTAAACAAAACCCCACTGTGTTTAGTATACTTTTCTTCATGAACAATATTAATGTTATAAATGTCACAAGAACAGAGCAATACATTTATCTTTTACGCCTTCTTACCTTTTTTTAGGGGGCTTTACAAATTCAACCAGACCAAATGCAGGTAAGTTAGTATTTCAGTTATTCATTTAAATAACTGTTGGGAAATCTGTTGTTATACATACTAATACTAATTCATTTTATTCTAGACTATCAATGCAATATTGATCATTGTTCTCGTCCCCATTGTTGATATTGTGGTCTATCCTTTAATAAAAAAATGCAAGCTGAACTTCACGTAAGTGAACTGTTAAATATAGGAATATCCTGTAACTTTACATCATTTTGTGTTAGGAAAAGTAAGTTAAAGTATATACTGTATGAACTATTATCTTTTAAACAAATTCTTTAACATTTTTTTTTATAAGTGATCACATAATCTCTGTTCTCATCCGCATAATCGACTTAAAGGGGTAGAGGTGGGGTGGATAAACAGCAGGACAGTAATCTTCCCAGTGAGTGGCTGCAGAGGGCATGTTAGCATAACTCTTTGCCATTGGAGGACAGGCAGACTGACCAGACAGAAAACTGACCACACTGTGAAGGGTGTGATTCTATATCTAACATGGTCAATTTGAAATTGAAAAGCAAGGGGACTGGCAGGAACATCATGTGTTTCACAGACAGGAATCAATAAAAAGAGAACAGGATATTTTTATTTTTAAATTTTATTTCTTTTATTGTCTATTTTAAAGTATATGGTACAATATAAACATACCAGAAATATGAAATGTTCTGGTAACATATTGTTTAATAGAATAATAAATCCATGGACCTAAAGCCCAACACTGGCCAAACATGAACATGTCGGGTTCAGAACCAGCTATCAAACAAAACATGAAGTGAGGCAAAATCATCTCAAAAGAAACACAGGCATCAACAACAAATGGAAAACTGTACACAAATATTTATTTTCATTTTCCTTTCCTAACTTGTCTCCACCTACAAGCTCCCATAGGACCATGTACCAATAAACTGAAGCCTGCCCAGCTGACCTCTGTTCTGTAACTAGTTGCCACATTCTCTTGAATGAAAATTATACTACTATGGAGATTGAGGAGAGGAAAAGTATAGTATGTATTTGTCTACAATTTTCCTTTTTTCTGACTCTGGCAGCATACACCTGGGAAATAACTAACCAAGTTGCCAGAAAGAATAATGTTACTTACAAACTATACAGTTGCCAGCACTCTTTTCAAACATTCAACCATTCAACTGTGGTTAGAGGCAGGCACTAAACAACAATGCAACAGAAACGTATTTACAGATGTCCATGTTGCCACCTTGCAGATTGTCTCTGGTGTGGTCTTTGACGAGTATGCCCAGGAAAGGGCAACACTCTTCAGACAATGCCCTGTCATCTCAGGTAGTGCTAATGCTGTAGCCCTGTAAGCTGCTTGTATGACCTTGACTTTTCAGGAAGTGGTGGATCAAAAGTAGGCTTCTCTTCTACTGTTCTTCCCATCAGAAATTACAAACAGTTTGTCTGAGACTCGGAACCTACCTTTTCCCTAGATCACTGCATGTATAACGTCTCCCATATGCAAAAGATTCACTTGTTGCATGTCTGTATCTTTAAATTTAGGCAAGACTAAATCTCAGTCTACATGAATATCCACAGTGACTTCTGCTAAAAAGTTCAACATAGGTACTAAGACAATTTTGTGCACAAAAAAAAAAGTAACAGATGGTTCTATACAGTCTGGAGGGTCAGATTCCACAAAGTACACTTTTGGTTGTCTTTTGAAGGAAGTTAAGGTAGATACTTCAGGACTAATGGCAGATCCTACTGGAAAGCACATTGTGTGTGTGTGTGTTCAGGACCAAATGCAGCCAGTATATTACCTCCCGAGGCTTCCATGATATTACTGCCCACTTGGACACTGCTCTGGCTTTTAGCAATGAGTACTTACCAGGGGCGGACTGACCATTTTGAAACTCGGGCGCTGCCCAAGGGCACGGGGTCAGTAGGGGGCCCCATGAGATGCCTCTGGTACCTTTTTCATAGGCTTTTTTGAGTTTGGGCAAGGACACAGGGGGCCCCATGATCCCCTATTGCCCGGGGGTCCCATGAGTTGTCAGTCCGCCCCTGGTACTTACTGCCAGCAGTCTTACATCCCCCCTATGAACATCACACAGGAGAGGCTACCTGGCAGAACAGCCATGGATTTAAAACTGCTAGTTGAAGGGGAACTTGTTTGCATAGTTAGTTCTACAGCAGTAAGAAAAAAGGGTTCAGCAGGGCAGGCTTCAATGTGTTGGTTTATGGTCCTATGGGAGCTCAGAAGGGGGAGTTCACCCATGTGTATGCTGCCATAAGAGTCACTACATGTGTTTTTCTGTGTTATAAGTCACCTGGTGTGCATTGGAAATTGAAGAAAGGTAAGTTTTTTTTTTCTTGTCCTCTTTTTCGGGGCTAGTCATTTTGCCAAGAATCATGATTGTATCCACCTCAGAGCTTTCTCCCTAACCAAATAGTGAAAAGTTGTATCCTAATGCTTTTAAATTTTGTTTTGTAAGGTATGAGGAGAGTAAACCAGTGCGGCTTTGATACCGCGCTACTTCAGCACGATTTCAAAGCCGCAGATGAGATTTGGATGTGTGATTTAATTGTGTCCTACAACTTCATTTAACAGAAGTCAATGCAAGTAGCAATGAAATCACAGAAAAGTAGAGCAGGAATCTTTTTCAAAGACGCTACTACTTGAGTCGCAATAATTTGAACAGTTCCATTTCTGCAAATAGGGTGCGACTTGTCATGCGATTTTGAACTGTCAAATCCCAAGACAACTCACACTGGTGTGAACAAGGGCTTACGTCCACAGTATTACTGTGGTAGCAAAACAGTAAGGCAATAAAAGTGCAGAATATTGTTCTAGAAAAGGATGACATTCAAATAAATGACAACGGATTTGTGTAGTGTTTCCTGCAGCATTTACCAGATACAAAGCTGTATATGTCAGACTTCTTTCTGTATTTTCAACCAGAGTCTAGCAGTTAGATGTGTCCTTTGATCTTGGAAACACAGGACAATTATTACAACTAATGAGACTATTTTAGACGTTATTGGCACCCAACTGGTTAGAAAATAGCTGGATATCAGCTGCATATTCAACCTGGTTAATTGTGAATGATGTCCTAATAATGTGTTGCTATATGTCTGTATTACTTCTGCAGCCCTCTGAAGAGGATGACAGTGGGAATGTTCTTTGCTGCCATGGCTTTTGTTGCTGCTGCACTTGTGCAGGTATCAATAGATGTAAGTAATGTGTGGTGTGAAAGATATATGAAAAGTATACAGAAATATTATTTGCAGTGCTCTCATTAAAATAAGCTTTCAGACAGAGGTTCTCAAACATGTCCTCAGCCTTTGCCAACAGGGCATTGTTCAAACACAAATTACTCCATTTGATATTTTCTGCAAAACATAAACTCTTGGTGCGAGTTGGAGGAATTCTTTACCACCTCATCCTGCTAAAACCAAACAATATGAATTAAGGTTCTGTAGCTGATTACATTGGTAATTAGATTCACCACTGGCTCCAAACCATGTATCCAGTGCTATTCATATACTGTATATTCTGTTTTAAAGGGGTGAAGTGGCAAGCCTTCTGGGAATAGATGAAAAGTTTGTTATAATGCTGAAACTATGCTACGTTCTGAATTCTTTCTTGCCAATCGCACTCTTTCTGTTACCAGATCCTCCTATACGAGATGGTATCAAAAAGTTTCAAGATTATTTTTCTAACACGCCAACAGATGGCAGCACAAGGCTGCACACACAGTCACAGGGAGCATCGACAAAAGACATTGTCCTGAGTACATCAGGAGCTGTGCAACTGGTGCTATTCTCACCATGTGTGTTACTACATCTGCTATTTCATCATGGACAGTTAGAACAAAGAGCAAACATGAAATTCTGCCAATCTGCCACAGAGACGTTTGATATGATTTTGGCAAGATTACGACGATGCTGCAATGAGACATTTGGGGTGTTTTGGCACGAGCGCTTCAAGAGTGGAAGAACAGCATTGGAAGATGAGGAGAGATCAGGAAGACCTTCAGTAAGCTAAACCCCCAAAAAATGTTGAAACCAATCAGCAGCTTGTGCATGATGATCAGCAGGGAACAATCCACAACATTGCTGCCATTGTCGGTGTGTCATACAGAACAATCTAGGCAATTCTTATGTGTGATTTGAACATGCACCTTTCAGCTGCCAAGTCCATCCCCAGAAAGACCGCATCGAAGTCTGCCAAGAACTCCATCAGCATACTGTGGATGACCCGTCCTTCATGTCGAAGATCATTACCAGTGACGAAACTTGGGTGTACGGGTTTCAAGCAGAACTTCACGTTTGCTCTTTGTTCTAACTTGCTGCTGTGATGAAATAGCACACATGGTAATGTACGTGGTCAGAATAGCACCAGTTGCATAGCTCACGATGTGCACAGGACAATGTCTTTTGACACACTGACTTATGAAGGTTGGTGCTCCCTGTGACTGTGCGTGCAGCCTTGTGCCGTCATCTGTTGGAGTGTTACAAAACTAGTCTTGAAACTTTTTGATACCACCTCGTATGCTTTTAGTCGTGTCTGCCTCCTTAGATTATGTGCTTCTGTGCTGTGCAACTTGTTTTCTCTTCACCAGTCTCTTTAGCTCTGTGGGGTTGATTTACTAAAGGGAAATAGGCTGCTCACTTAGCATGGGGAAGTTGCACTTCGCATGGGACTTTTTCCCAGAGCTTAGAGAATGTGATGAGATTTTACTTTGCAAAGCATTCCCAATCATATTCACTAAGCTCTGGGGGAAATCCAAATGTAAAGTGCAACTTCCCTTGCAGATTGAAACATCAATTTGCTTTTATTAAATCTACCCCAATGTGAGGGAGAACAGGAAGTGTACAGTGGTTGCAATTGGGAAAACTTGCCTTGTATGTTTCACATCAGTTACCAGCTTGATTTCACTCCATGCTGCACCCCTAAACCCCTCACTAACTCCACCCTGCATTCTTACTATGAATTTTCACTTTACAGAAAGCCAAAGCTTAAATTGGAAGTAAAGTCAAGACGTAACGAACGCTCAACCCACTCTCAGTCATATTCTAAGCCTAATCTACCAAGCCATGTAAAGCAAATATTGCAATACGTACTTGTTCTGCAGCCGCTCCAGTCCGGTCCCAGCATTGGCTGTCAGCAATGGCTTCTGTGTGTGGGAGCGTGCAGGAGAGGCAGTAGACAACGGAAGCCCCATAGTACATAGGTGATGTCACTTCCTAGGCATTTCACAACCATTGTCGGTTTTCTCCTGCACACAGCAGCCACAGCTGGGACCAGAACGGCTGCAGAATAGGTAAGTATAGTGATTTTTGCTTTACAGGGCTAGATATATATTAGGATTAGAATGTGTCTGAGAGTAGGTTTAAAGTTAGTTAGGTTTTGACTTTACTTCAATTTTAAAGCTTTCAAAGTCTGCTAATGCTGCAATAGGAGAACTTGGCACCTCCAGCTCTCCAGTTGGACTCCCCTGCCCCCCCCCCCACTCATTCCTTCCTCCTGTACTTCTCATATTCTCTCCCCAAATGTCTACTCCCAACCCCACTTCCTACTTCCTGTTTTACATCTCTCTCCACTCTTGACCTCTCTCTTCTACAACTTGACGTCAGGCCCTTAAACCTTCTTACATGGACCTTGCTTCTCTTTGGAGTGACATGACAGCTTCTTTAACTCTGCGTCAGGCCCTTAAACCCCCTTACATGGACCTTGCTCCTCATTGGAGTGACATGATAGCTTCTGCTGACCGTTACTACTAAATGATATGATTTTTGTTTATGTACTATGTACAATATATTGTAGTATGGTCTCTGTAACGACTAGGACCTTCTGTGGACCATCTGCCCTGTGATCTGTGAGGTTGAGCTGCAACTCTCTTTTGTATTAAAACTTGAATGAATATCTTAAAAAAAAATAGCTGGTGTAAAGTTTTAGCTTCTTGCAAAAACAAAATGATTAACGTGATCTGACCCATTGGAATTTTCTTCTTTTGCTTACAGAAAACTCTTCCAATATTTCCAACAAGCAATCAGATACAAGTTAAAGTTATAAATTTGGGAACTCAAAATTTGACTGTTCATTTTATTGAAACTGAGCCTCCATCCGATTTCGTCAAAGAAGTGGCCCCACTACAGGTATGATATAACTTTCATTTTACACTCTTATAAGAAAATAAAAATATAATTTATATTTCAAATTCTGACTTCTGAATACTGAATTACCTCTATGTTAGGGTAGGTTAGTAGGACATTTCCTACTATAGGGTTTTGATGGTCTGTATCATTGTCATAGTTCTATTTAATACAAGGAGTATACAGGTCAATTTTGACTGCAGGGTAAAAGCTAATGCAGGCCATAGACGGTTCGTTTATCGGCCGATTTTTCGGCCGAAAACAAAAAAAAAACGGTTGTTCTGTTGCCACCAATGATTGCAAAAAAAATTGTCCGTTTTTTGCAAATTTTCCAGCATGACTGATAAAAGAAATGAGGAGGAACCGCGAAAATCAGCAGGTGACATTGCCCCACTAACGGTGTGAAAATCGGCAGATTATTCTTTCGGATGAAAATTCGGCCAATAAACGAACCGTCTATGGCCTGCATAAGCAGCTCCAGTACCAGTGGTGGCCACTGGGAACTTATTTTAAACAGATAATTCTTTAAAACAATAAGAAATGTATAATATAATAATACAATTTGCAGAATATTACAGCTCACAAATTGCCTTTTTTAATAGCGAATCCTATTGTTAGAGAGCCCCCTCATGTCTTGCAGGTTGTTTCCATATCCACTTTCCCTCCAGAAGATTTACCCCCTTCATGACCAGACCATTTTTTTGCTTTTTGGCACTGCTTTATTTAACTGACAATTGCGGGGTCAAGCAACATTGTGCACAAATTAAATTTACAGTTAGGTTCATATACATACAAGTGAAATGCATGCTCAATTGGGTTGAGATCAAGTGATTGACTCGGCCATTGCAGAATATTCCACTTCTTTTCCTTCAAAAGCTCCTGGGTTGCTTTTGCAGTGTGTTTTGGGTCATTATCCATCTGTACTGTGAAGCAGTGTCCAATCAAAAAACTAAAATTGTGCCCGTGTCCAAATATATATGGACCTAACTGTATATTATTTTTTTTCCCATGAATACAGCTTTCTTTTGGTGGTATTTGATCACAACTGGGTTTTTTTATTTTTTCAGCTATAAACGAGAAAAGACCGAACATTTTGAAAAACAAACAATATATTTTACTTTCTGCTATAAGACATATTCACTAAATAAAATTAAAAAAATTCTAATTTTTTCATAAATTTAGGCCAATATGTATTCTGCTACATATTTTTGGTAAACAATCCCAATAAGCATATATTGGTTTGTTTATGCAAACGTTATAGCGTCTACAAACTATGGTACATATATTGGAATTTTTATTTATTTATTTATTGTTAGTAATGGTGCCAATCAGTGACTTATGGCAGGACTGCAATATTGAACAGTCTGAAACTAACTGACACTTTGTGGGAACCAGTGACACTAATACAGTGATCACTGCTAAAAAATATGCACTGACACTCTACTAATGACACTGGCTGGGAAGGGGGTAGACATCTAGGGCAATCAAAGGGTTAAATGTGTGCCTAACCAGTGCTTTTGTGTGTACTTTCAGATGCTTTCAGTAAGGGATGTGCTGGATACAAAATCCAGCACATCTCCACTGACAAGACAGAGCTCTGCCTTGTTTACATAGGCAGAGCTGTGTACTGTCTTTCTCCTTGCCGATCAGTGGGTATACAGTTAAGTACACAGACTAATGTATTTAACACAGACAACACATTTATAGTACATAGAAAAAAAATGTACATATTTGTGGGCATACATTATCAAATATATATTTAACAAAACATTTGCGTGATAATTTGCAAATGGCAGTAAACAATAGCAACTGTATAAATACATTTTATTTTAACCATGGGACTTAAATAAATATAAAGCTTGCTTAATTCTAATAAAGAAATGTATCTCATACCTACTTCTCAACCATGTATTATAGGTGTATTTTTTATATGATATAAAAATGCATAAATAGGCTTACTCAGTAATCTAGAGCAAGAAATGTTAATGTGCAAAATGCTGTAACCCATTAATAATGTCAGATGATCACATGAACCTTTGCTGTTCACATGCAGGTGTAGCGTTATTCCCGCAGGGGTCGCTTGGTAATTTGGGTTCTCTGTTCTGCGCGTTGACTCCAAGAACACTCTCAACCCCTCTGACCCACCTGGTTTAATGAGAGTTACTGCAAGCACTTATAAGAACATGAGTATAGATACCTTTAATTAGGCTGTGAATTAGCACCAGGAGATAGACACAAGACTGTTTAGTGGTAAATGAACTCAGTGTGTTGGTATGGGTTAGAATAAATCATGGTTTGAGCATTCATAGTCCACTAGACAGTATAATCACAATGCAAAGGTAAGTTAGAATGGAGTTCTGTACCATTAGTCTAGGAGTAACTCATGAATCAGCAAAATCAGCAATAAACAGTGCATATAAGCATTAACTGCAATGTGAACAATAATACTAACTAGTCTAGAGTGCACTCTATGCGAATGCCTAGGATATGGTGCAATGTCCTCTGAGAGGTACCTCTTAGCATAAGCAATAGGTAAAGGTCTCTGTGTAGCAGCTGAAAAGGGGCATTCTTTAGTTATAACTCTTCAGCCGGGTAGAGTTGGAACTCAGTTGTACCGTTGGTGCACATGAGAATAGTCCCAGTCAAGCCTACAGGCAGCAATGAGGCTACTAGATGGCCGTATGGTCAGTTCCTAAAGGGCTCAGTCTCTCTCTCTAGTAGCAGATAGTAAATCCCCACAGCAGAGGCTCACAAGTCCCAACGATATTTAAGCTCATCATTTGGTCACACACAGCTTTTAGTCCACTCTCTGCTCTGCACCCAGATGACTCTGGCTGTCAACACATCTGTATTCAGCACTGTGGATCCCACTCAGCCTGCCATTATGGTGGTGCATACTGGAAAGCAATGTGTACTCTCCTGGCTCCCTCATAGTAGGAGGAAGCTGTGGCCTGTACAACTTGACAAAATTCAACTTTCTCCTCCTCCTGGCAATCTCCATTTGGGAAATGGTGTTTAAAAGCTTTTCATTACAGTAGAGTTTTTCTCCACTGGACTACAGTTCCCACAGCCAACCTGACTCTATTGAACTGCTCCTGCAGCTTCAGTTCCCTCCTTTTGATGAAATAGCTGTGAACCAATTCAGCAGGGCAGCAGCTACAGCGAGCAGCTGCAGTCAGTGTTTCCCACACCCATTCTTAGCAGATCTCCTGGGTACATATGAATGTGAGTTGAAGCCTACACAGGAACATGTGCTCTTCCCCACGTTACAGCACTGGATGCCTGAGCTGCCAATCCTCATTTACCATATCTACCAGTACTTGGTTGTTTGGGAATATTATGCCGTGCACATTGCTGTTGTCCTTTGCACCACCTAAATCTGAAAATGTTACTAGTTCCCTTTTCAATTTGTACAGCTCTTGTGCAATACTTGCATTATATTTTCTTCCACTGACAAATGTTTACATTTTATTATGCTTCATCATAAACAAATGTCAATTCTTTGAATAATCCTTGCTTGAGGTGATTGTAGCCGTATTAGTGCACTTGCGACAGAAACAATTGAGTACTGACGTGATACTTTTTTTATTTGCACTAACATACAATTTTGAGGACAAGCTTTCGGGGTATGTCCCCTTCTTCAAGGTCCAAGCAGTACTATTACAAAGTTTTAGAAGAATGTTAGAAGAGATGTGGGGGATGAGAAAAAACCCCCAGAAAGAAACACACACAGATGTACACATAAATGGTTAAAAGACTAGGATTAGACTAGAGATAAGACACAGCAAAAGCAAAGATTGGGGGAGGGGGGGGGGACAACACTCACAGGGGGAGTCATAAAACTGTTAGATAATGATTGAGGAATCCCATGTCCAAATTAAGGCCGTTATCTCTTGTGTCAAATAGAATTATCATTCTTAGTTCAAGATTTTTTCTTTCCTGAATGGAATTGAAATTTCCTTTAAGAACTAAAATATTGAGGTCTTCCATAGTGTGGTCTGGTTGTGCGAAATGGTGTCCCACAGGTGTGAAAAAGTCATCTTCTTTATATTCCTTGATGGTATGTCTGTGCAAATTCATCCTTGTCTGCAACTTCTGTCCTGTTTCGCCAACATAAGATCCTTTGCTACATTTTCTGCACTGGATAAGGTACACAACATTACTGGAGGTGCAGCTGTATGATCGGGAGATATTGAAGATCCCTTTTGAGTGTCTGACACTTTTTGATGGATTGATTTGGTTGCACAGTTTGCAGCTTTTTTTATTGCAGGGCGTGCTTCCATTATTTGTGACATCTTAATCAGAAGGAAGTTTCCTACTGAATACTTTATTTCTAAGGTTGGGGGGGGGTTGTCTGAAAGCCAGTATTGGAGGTTGCTGCAATATTTATTTCAGACTTCCATCCTCTGTTATGATGGGTTGTAAATCTTTGATTATTTTTCTTATCCCTTCTAGTGCTGGATTGTATGTGGTTACTAGAGGTACACGGTTGTTTTGTTTTTTCTCTTTGTACTGAAGTAGGTTTTCCCTTCGTGTTCTCAAGGCTGTGTTTATGCTGGTGTTGATAGTTTTGTCCTTGTAACCTCTCTTATGGAAGGAGTTTGCTAGTGTCCTGAGATGTTTATCTCTGTCTCCTGGGTCAGAACATATTCGGTGGTATCTAATGGCCTGACTGTGTATGATGGCACGTTTCGTGTGTTGGGGGTGGAAGCTAGAACTGTGGAGGTAGTTGCATCTGTCAGTGGGTTTCCTGTATATTGAGGTGTGAAGCGTATCATCCTTGATGTATACTGTGGTGTCTAGGAAGTTGATGTGTGTGTTTTAGTATTCCATTTTTAGTTTGATTGATGGATGAAAAGTGTTGATCAATGAGTAAAATTGTTTTAGGTTTTCTTCACCTTCTGTCCATATGATGAAAATATCATCAATATAGCGATAGTATCTGTATGGTTTTTGTTCCATACTGTTCAGGAATTTTTCCTCCAGGTCAGCCATAAATAAATTGGCAT